ATTTTAAACGGGAAAAGAAGACTAAGAATTGCTAAAGGTTCTGGAACCAGTGTTGCCGATGTTAATCTTTTGATTAAGCAATATAACCAAATGAGCTCTATGGTGAATAAATTTAGTAAAAGCAAGACAAAAGAATCTGACCTAATGGACATTCTCAGCAGGGAATAAAAAATAAGTACAATATGTTAATCTATTTACTTTTTATAAGTTTTATCGTATTATTAAATAATAATATGAATTATAGAGAGGATATATATGGCTAAACAAGATTTGCTTAGTATCGTTCAAGCAATTGGAAACAACATTGATAATGAGAAGGAACATCAAAATAAAATTGGCGAATTAAAAACTTTTCTGCAAGATGGTCCAGAAATAGAAATTAGTAAAGAAATATTTCAAGCTGTTATGAACAGATCCAAAAGCAGCACAAAAATTAGTGAAGAAGCAATATATCACCTTCTTTCATACTGTATTGAAAATAGTAATAATATAAAGAGCAAAAGCAGTAATGGTAAAAGGAATTTATCATTTGATGAGGTAATAAATTACCTGAAAGATGCGACGAAAATCCAGCAATATTACGGTGATCTTGATAAGTTATTAAATTATCAAGGTGAAAATGGCGACACACTGTTACATAAAGCCGCGAGTGCAGGAAATGATTATGCAGTGAAAACACTTCTTGAATGTGGTGTAAATTCTTTGGCTGTAAATAAGAACAGCAAGACTCCATTAGAGTTGGCTCAAGGAAACACAAAGAACATATTAATAGAAGGAATGAAAGCTCAAGCTAATCGATATAGAAGCGAGGCTAGAACAAAGGGCATTGTTAGCTTTATGGCTGGGTTTATTTCTACTGTTGGAATAAGTACTGCAATTTGTACGATATCAGCAGCCGTTTCTTGTAGTATAGCATTAGGGGTAGGAGCAGCTATAGCTTTGGGAGTAGGTGCAATAATTGGATGGAGTGTGTACTCTCAATGTGATGATCATAGAAAAGCTGAAGCAATAGAAAATGCTCTTGAACAAGAGAAAAATGCTTCTTCACAAAAAGGAGGAATGATGTCAGAAACAAATATAGAAAATGTGAACGGTAACCAGACAGTAAAGATATAAGTTAAAATATTATGATATTCTGAGATTTGTTTAATGGGTTATCATTTATTTAACGAAATATAGATATAATTTACTTACTAAATGAAATGGAGATTTCAATGAGTGAGTTAAAAAAAGTAAATGAATCTCAGGTTACCAAATGGGAAGTAGTAAGAAATTCCGAGTATGCTAATAATTGCTTGTCACGGATAATGACTTTATATGTAATTAAGTTAACTCAGTTGCCAAGTCTTTACAAAGAAAGTAAGCCAGAAGTTAGCACCATTCTAGTAAGGTTAGATGTTGCAAGTGAAAACATATTTTTAAATAGAGCAATTGTTATTGAAATTATGACAGGAATTTTTCCATACAAGTTTAGTAGCAAAAAGAGAAATAACATATCCAGATTAGAAGACTTATATAATCATTTGTGTTCAATTATTAATAGTGATCTTCCAAAAGAAATACTTGAGAGTTTGATTAAAGAATACAAGAATTCTGTTAGTCTACTGAGAACGATCACTTGAGTTGTTTAAGTACTTTATTTTCTATTTCAGACACTCCACTTTCAAGCTCTTTATCCATTAAACATATTGTGGATGAGTATACCCGTTGTTTTTTTGTAACACTGATGGTGAGAGTGCCTGGAGTAATTGTGACCGAGTTTGCAAATAAAGTGATGCTTTCATCATTATGTTTGTTGCATTTCTTGAAAATAATTACCGGTTCGAATTGGAAGTTAGGTTGCAGTACTTTTTTTGCTACATATATGCTTGACATGATGATCTGGTACGTCAGCCATGGTATATAGCTTATTAAGCTCAAAAGTGATAACCTGCTACTGTTTAATATGCTACTTAAAGCACTTTCAGCGTTTATTAACCTCTTGAAGATAAAGAGTGTAAATATGGAAGAAAATATGCCACAAAATAAGAAAAAAGGCTCAAAATAACCTGATAATATAATCCATAAAGTGAATAAGACAATAAATGACAGAGAGAAAAATTTTACTTCTTGTTTATCTTTCATATAGTGTAGTATATACAAAACCTTTGAGAAAAGAATAGAGAATTTTGTATATATGGAGATTATTGCAGAAAATAGAAAAGCAAGATTTGAATACTTTATTTTAGAGGAATTTGAAGCTGGTATAGTTTTGGTTGGCAGTGAAGTGAAATCTCTAAGAGATAGGAAAGTAAATATTTCGGATGCCTACATAATTGAAAAAAATAATGAGGTATGGCTACACAATATGCATATTGCAGAATATAAGGCCGCAACGCGCAAAAATCATAGACCGAAGAGAGAACGTAAACTGCTTTTGCATAGACGAGAAATAAATAAATTGATTGGTAATATTAAAACGGCTGGTGTTACTGTTGTACCACTTTCACTTTATTTTAATAATAAGGGGATAGCAAAAACTAAAATTGCTATTGTTAAGGGAAAAAAACTCTATGACAAAAGAGCAACGATAAAGCAAAGAGAGTGGGATCGTGAAAAACGTAGATTATTTAAGGATAGTGTATAGCATATGTCTTTAGATCCAGTGATTTTTAGTATTGGTCCCATATCTGTATATTGGTACTCTTTAACCTATGTTTTTGGCATATTATTTGGGTATTGGTACTTGCATAAGCTAGACAGTCAAAAGGTATTTACTAAGGAATTTTATGACTTACTTTTAACTGCTGTTATCATAGGTATTATCTTGGGTGGAAGGTTGGGATATGTATTAATGTATGATACGGTTTTTTACCTGAACAACCCAATTAACATCTTTAAAACCTGGGAAGGAGGAATGTCGTTTCATGGTGGTGCAGTAGGCACTTTATGTGCAGTTGTTATTGCATGCAGAAAACATAAGGTACCAGTATTTTATACACTTGACTTAATTTCTTGTGGAATGCCTATAGGATTGTTTTTAGGGCGTATTGGTAATTTCATAAATGGTGAGTTATTTGGTAGAGTAACAAATGTGTCGTGGGCAATGATATTTCCAAAAAGTGGTGATAATTTTTTGCGTCATCCTTCTCAGTTGTACCAAGCCTTTTTTGAAGGGTTGTTACTTTTTGTAGTGGTGAATTTGCTGTATTTTTTTACTAGAATAAGATTTTATCGTGGAGCACTAACAGGGTTTGCTATTATATGGTATGGAATAGTACGCTTTTTAGTTGAATTTTTCCGTGAACCTGATTATCATCTTGGCTATTTATGGTTTAACTTAACCATGGGGCAGTTGCTTTCCATACCTACGGTTATCGCAGGGGTATTTATCTATTTAAGAGCATTATACTTGAAATTTGATGTAAAATCTGTTAGATAACATATTTTATTAAGGTTTAAATTGGAAAAAAGCAAAATAAGAAGTTCTTTATCTTCACTATTTCTTTTGTTGTTGATTGGACTGTCAATACGCAGTTTTGTGTTTGAACCGTTTCACATACCTTCGAGCTCCATGAAAAGTACTCTGCTGGAAGGAGATTATATTTTTGCAAGTAAATATGCATATGGGTATAGCAAGCATTCTTTTCCATTTGCTCTAAATATCTTCAACGGCAGAATTTTTTATACCCCACCGCAGCGTGGTGATATAATAGTTTTTAAGCCTGTGCATAATACCAACATTCGGTTTGTGAAACGCGTCATAGGAATGCCTGGTGATAAAGTACAGATGATAGATGGAGATTTGTTTCTTAATGGAGAAAAAGTGCCACGCAAAGAAAGTGGAAGCTTTCTTGATTATGAATCAAATCGTAGCATTCCTAGGTATATAGAAACACTTCCTAATAGCAAGAAACACGAAATTTTGATAGATAGTAGTGTTCATAAATTTTCATATAATACTTCTGTTTATCATGTGCCCAATAATCAATTTTTTGTTATGGGAGATAATAGAAATAATTCTATAGACAGTAGATTTCCTGAAGTTAGTTTTATACCAATGGAAAATATAATTGGTCGTGTTAGCATAGTTGGGCTATCATTTAAACTAAAAAAAGTTGATTGGTTACCGTTCAATTTTAGGCTACCTGTTAGTTTAAGATTGAATAGAATATTTCGTCAAGTTAGCTAAGATGGGTTATATACCGTTACCCAATCGCAGTGTGATAGCACTATATGGTCCTGATACAAGAAGTTTTCTACAGAGTATTATCACCAATGATATTAATAAATCGAGTGATCAAAAGGCCATTTACTCTCTATTATTGACCCCTCAGGGAAAGTATTTATATGATTTTTTTCTCATAGAGCATGGTAAATATATTTTTCTGGAATGTGAAAATATATACTTAAAGCAAATAGTGGAGAAACTCAATTTACTTAAAACATATCTCAAGGTGAGGATTAAAGATGTAAGTGCTTTATATCGTGTGGGTATTTTATTCAATACACAATTTATAGAATGTAATGATGAATCACAAATCATTTTTCAAGATCCAAGGCATATATCCTTGGGAGCAAGAATTATACACCGAAGTGAAATAAAAGAATCAATTGGAAATTTTGCTGAGTATGAATTGACCAGAATTCGAAATCTCATCCCAGATGGCGCAAAAGACATGAAGCAAGATTTATCATTTCCGTTGCAGTATTTGATTGATCATGCAAATGGTATAGATTTCAATAAGGGGTGCTATATAGGACAGGAGGTTGTGAACCGCATGAGAAGACAACCGACATTGAGGAAAAAACTTTACCTTGTTCAGGGAAATAGTCCGCTGCCAAGTGTTGGCACCAAAGTTGTTAATGACAATAATGAAGAAATAGGGGAATTACGTTCTAGTATAGATAATATAGGGCTAGCATTACTGTATACTGAAAAAAGTCATGCAAATTTGCATGCTGATAATATTAGTATATTTATATAGTAGAAAGCTTAGATTTAGAAATTGATTTTCAAGCTATAGTGGCAAATTACCATGCTTTTTCCACAATCTATCTACTTTTTTATTTTTCAATAGCTTTAATGCCTTACGGAAGTAATACCTAGTCTTGCTTGGTAGTATTATATCATCAATGTACCCATGCGATGCAGCAAAAAACGGGTTAGCAAATTTTTCCTTATACTCTTGAATACATGCTTGTTTGTCTTGCTCATGTCGAAATATAATCTCAACTGCGCTTTCAGGACCCATGACTGCGATTTCAGCAGTTGGCCAAGCATAATTTATATCTCCTCGTAGATGTTTTGAGTTCATGACAATATATGCACCACCATATGCTTTTTTGGTGATTAAACTAATTTTTGGCACAGTTGCTTCAGCATAAGCATAGAGTAATTTTGCTCCATGTTGTATTATATTATTGTACTCTTGGCTTGTACCGGGTAGAAACCCTGGAACGTCAATTAAGGTGATAATTGGAATGTTGAATGCATCACAAAACCTGACAAATCTTGCAGCCTTTCTTGAAGAATCAATATCTAAACATCCTGCAAGGTGCATAGGTTGATTTGCAACGATACCGACCGTGTTTCCAGCAATTCTGCCGAAACCAGTTATTATATTGCGGGCAAAGTCTGGCTTTAATTCAAAAAATTTTCTTTCGTCACAAATCTTTTTAACAAGTTCATACATATCATAGGGAGTATTTGGATTGACAGGAACTAGAGTATTTAAAGATTCATCAACATCGCTATATAAATCATAACTTAGTACAGGTTTAGGAGGTTCTTGATTGTTTGGCGGTAGGAAAGTAAAAAACTCACGTACTTTTAATAACATCTCAATATCATTATTGAATGCGAAATCTGCTGCTCCCGTCTTACTTGTATGTACTTTAGCCCCACCAAGACTCTCGTGATCAACATCTTCGTAGGTAACTTTCTTTACTATATCAGGACCGGTAATGAACATATAAGAAGTATTCTTCACCATAAATGTAAAGTCCGTTAGCGCTGGAGAATAAACTGCTCCTCCTGCACATGGTCCCATAATCAAGGAAATTTGGGGTATCACTCCTGATGCATCAACGTTTCTTTGAAAAATTTCTCCATACCCTGCAAGTGCGTTCACTCCTTCTTGAATTCTTGCGCCTCCAGAATCATTCAACCCAATAATAGGGATTTTGGCATTAATGGCCATATCCATGATTTTACATATTTTTTTTGCATGCGATGCTCCGAGTGAACCACCAAAAATGGTAAAATCTTGAGAGTAAACGAAAACTTTTCTACCAAAGATAGTGCCATGACCAATGACAACACCGTCACCAAGGAAATTGTTATTCTGCATACCGAAATCAGTAACGCGGTGCTGTACAAATTTGTCGTATTCTTCAAATGAATTTTTATCGAGCAATACATGAAGTCTTTCTCTGGCAGTTAACTTCCCTTTTTCATGTTGTTTTTCAATTTTATTGACACCACCAGCCTCTAGTGCTTTTTTTTGTAAATTTTCTAATGTCTTAAGCCCTTGCATATAAATCAACTTCCACGCAGAAAGTATACATTATTCTGAAATGCTGATAAAGTCCAGACTTTATATTTATATAAATGTTTCATGACCCCAAGTGTGTTTTCTTATTACAGTGATTTTAATAGGGTGTTTCTCCTATTATTTTGTACCACTGTTCCTCATTTAAAATACTCACACCCAATTCCTGTGCTTTTTTACATTTAGATCCTGGATTTTCTCCCAAAACTAGATAATCAGTTTTAGCAGAAAGACTTGAGCTTACTATTGCTCCCAGGGCTTTAGCTTTAGCTTTAGCTTCACTTCTGCTCATAGTTAAAGTGCCAGTAAATACTATAACCCTATTGTTAAGGATGGAATCATTGTTATTTACATCAACAGGGAGAATTTGTAAATGAGGAACAAGATTATCTAGTACTTCAATATTGCGTTTCTCGGAGAAGAACAGCTTTAGGTATGTTGCCACACTTTTCCCTATACAATCTATATCCAGTAGCTCAGAAAAGATCTCTGAATCGGAAGACAATTTTATCATAGATAGATACCAATTTTCATAAGAGATGTAATAGTTTGCAAGTAATCTTGCTGTAACCTGACCAATATATCTGATACCTAGAGAGAATATAAATCTATCCAAAGCTATCATCTTTCTGCTGCGTATAGAGTCAAGCAGATTAGTTATTGATTTCTCACCCCAACCTTCTTGTTCTTGCAAATTAATCTCACTTAATTTTTCCTCTAGAGTAAAAATATCAGGAATTTGCTTTATCAAACCAAGGTTATAAAAAAACTCTATTTGCTTTTCTCCAAAGCCTTCAATATCAAACGCATCCTTAGATACAAAATGCTTTAATTTTCCTATGATTTGAGCCTTACAAACAAATTCACCAGAACATCTTACTACTGCTTCTCCCTCTACCTTACTTCCACATTCAGGACAAGTTTCAGGAAATATAAATTCAGGTGCATCTGGTGAGCGAACGCTCTTGTCTACATCTACAACTTGAGGAATTACATCGCCTGCACGTTTTACGGTAACAACATCCCCATCTCTTATGTCTTTGCGCTTAACTTCATCTTGGTTGTGAAGGCTTGCTCTGCTAACCAGTACTCCACCAATATTGATTGGAACCAATTCTGCAACTGGGGTTAATGTACCAGTTCTTCCAACTTGTATAATGATCTTTCTTAATTTAGTTTTCGCACAAATTGCAGGAAATTTGTATGCAAGTGCCGAGCGAGGTGCTTTATTAGTNTATCCTAGGCGATCCTGTAGAATTAGATTGTTTACTTTATAAACTATACCATCAATATCATAACCCAAGTTGTATCGGTTATCGTAGACTTTGTTATAAAATTCCAGCATTTCATCTAAGTTACTTGCCGAACACTGATATTCGTTTACACAGAAACCAAGGGCTCTTAGATCATCTAACACTTCACTCTGGCTTTTTGCTAACCCACCTATTAAAGAGTAGGCAAAATATTTCAGTGGCCTGCTTTCTGTAACATTTGCATCCAACTGCTTAAGAGAACCTGCAGCCGCGTTACGTGGATTAGCGAATCCATTCTGTATGTTAAGTTCTATAAAATCTTCATTTGAGATATATATTTCACCTCTTACTTCTAATCTACCTTTTACACCTTCGAGCAATTTAGGCATATTCTTTATAGTTGCAACGTTGCAAGTAACATCTTCACCTACATGGCCATCACCACGGGTTGCCGCTCTAACAAATACCCCATCTTCATAAATTACAGAAAATGACAGGCCATCTATTTTAGGTTCACATATTATCTCCACTTCATCTATGTTTAGAAATCTTTTTACCCTTGATAAGAATCTTTCCACGTCTTGTTTATCATAAGCGTTATCAAGGGAAAGCATGGGTTTTATGTGTTCTATTTTAGCAAATCTCTCATCTGGTGGAGCTCCAACACTATCCTCAAGTTCTACTGCTGCCCTTCTTTTTAATTCATCATATTCAGCATCTGTGATTTCTGGTTTGTTTTTCTGATAATAAAGTATGTTATGGTACTTTATTTTTTCTTGAAGGTTTTCCTGCTTAGATTTCTCTAAATCAGCCATTTTTCTCGCCTATTATTCAGAGTCAGTTGATGAACTAGATGTTTGATAGGCATAATTTGGAGCTTCTTGAGTAATTATTATATCATGAGCGTGACTCTCTCTTAATCCCGACGCTGTCATAACTATAAACTTACAATTCTTCCTCATTTCTTCTATGTTTTTATTACCAGTGTATCCCATAGCAGCTCTTAGTCCTCCTACTAGCTGATGTATCACTCCTGAAGCTGGACCTTTGAACGGCACTCTTCCTTCCACACCTTCTGGAACTAACTTGAGTTTTACATCCTTATCTTGAAAGTAACGGCTAGCTGAGCCCCTCTTCATTGCACTAATAGAGCCCATGCCACGGTAGCTTTTATAAGCCCTACCCTTATAAACAATAATCTCACCCGGACTCTCATCAGTGCCAGCAAAAATTGAGCCTATCATCACAGAATCTGCACCAGCAGCAATGGCTTTCGCAATATCCCCTGAGTATTTTATTCCACCATCAGCGATTAACCTTACATTCCTCGCTTTACACACCTCTGCAATGCTTCTGACTGCAGAGAATTGTGGTACACCAACGCCTGTAACAACCCTGGTAGTACATATTGAACCTGGTCCTATACCAACTTTTACTGCATCAACACCTGCATCAATCAATGCTTCAGCCGCTTCTTTTGTAGCGATGTTACCTCCTATCAATTGTACATCTGGGTACATTCTTTTGATTTCCTTTATGGTATTAATAACACCTGCAGAATGTCCATGAGCAGTATCAACAACAACTACATCAACTTCTTCGCTAATTAGTGCTTCACATCTCTCTATGCCATCTTGTTTACCAATCCCGATTGCAGCGGCAACCCTAAGTCGACCTTTACTATCCTTACATGAATTTGGATACTGATTGTACTTTTCTATATCTTTGACTGTTATTAAACCTATGCAGTGAAAATTGTCATCTATAACCAGGAGCTTTTCTATTCTATTTTCATGTAACAACTTCATTGCAGATATATTATCTACCCCACTTTCTCGCACCGTGACCAATCTATCTTTTGTCATCACGTCAGAAACCCTAACCTCCAAATTCTCAATAAATCTGACATCCCTATTTGTTAAGATTCCAACGAGCTTCTGTTGATCAACCACAGGAATTCCAGAATAGTTATATTCCTTCATCAGCGAGATTGCTTCTGCAACTGTTTTATCAGGAGAAATTGTAATTGGATTATACACGATCCAATTCTCATATTTTTTTACTTTCCTGACTTCTGCAACTTGCTCACCGATGGATAAATTTTTGTGTATGCAGCCTATTCCTCCATGCTGAGCTACTACTATTGCAAATCTAGACTCAGTTACAGTATCCATTGCAGAGGATATCAGAGGTATGTTTAGCTCTATACTATTTGTTAAATAAGTTCTTGTGTCTGTATCACGAGGCAATACATCAGAGTATGCAGGTAACAAAAGTATATCATCAAACGAATAATAAGTTTCTATTTCCTTCATAATTTAAGCTTAACATCAGTTAATTAAATTGCAACTAGTTAGTATCGCATAATAACTTCTCTCTTAATTTTATACAAATTGATCAAATAAAGAGAATATACTATCCATATTATCAAGAAAAATGCTGCATAGAACATAAACATTGTAACTAATGGCAATAACAAAGAGTTTTCAATTGCTATGCCTCCCTTCCTAATAATACTTGCAGGTTGATGTAAAGTTGACCACAGATCTACAGAGAACTTCACTATAGGAATATTTATAGCACTGAAAATAGCAAACACTGCTGCTGATTTTTCTGCCCTTTCTTTGTTATCAAAAATGTTCCATAATGCAAGATAACCAATATATAAGAAAAACAAAATTAACATCGAGGTAAGTCTTGCATCCCACACCCACCAAGTGCCCCAGGTACCTCTTCCCCAGATACTACCTGTAATTAAACATATTGCAGCAAATAGAGTTCCTGCAGGTGCTGCACCATGAGCCAAAACACTTGCAATACTATTGTTCCATACTAGCGAGGTAAAACTCAGCAATGCAATTAATCCGTATACTCCAAGAGAAAACCATGCAGATGGAACATGTAGATACATAATTCGCACAATTTCTCCTTGTTTATAATCCTCAGGAGAAAGGAACAATGCAAGAAGCATTCCTACCAAAAAACATGCAGAACAAATAGCAATCAACCAAGGCAAAGCTTTTTTAGTGAAAGAAACAAAGCTTGCGGGCCTTAATAGGTTGCAGACCAATTTTCTAGTGCTCAATCGAGTTTTTCATTTTTGAATAGCATTGCTGTAACAAACTCAGAACCACTAATAAACATAGGGTTGCTACTGATGTATAGGACGCTTTGAACACAAAATCTTTAAGCCCTATTGTGAATGCTCTACTTAAATGAAATTTTTGCAATAAGCTAACAGCTACAAGACTGCTATCAACCAATGAGCACAACATTAGACTGAAGAAATTTCTTACTTGGAACTGAAATACTGGCTTTAACTTATCAAGCAAAATTATTCCAAGGTACAGTGATACAAAAAATGAGCCAAAAGAAATTAACAACATAAAGTTTAGACTCTGCCACAATAAGATCATGTTGGCCAACACACATAGTACTAAAGCGTTGATAGCTTTATTCCTTCCATACAACTCAGCTATAGAATTTACTACTAGCCCTGATATAGTAAATATTAAAGAACAGATTAGTAATTTATTAGTCGCATTTAGTAATAAAGTGCAAATAAACAATATTGTAGATAAAATTGGCATGCTACCTCCATACAGAATTCCATATCTAAATTGTAGCAAACTTTTTTATAGTAACAAATACTTTTATGCTTTGAAAGGCACTGAACCCGTCTACAGATTAGATATGGAAAGAAAAAAAACTGGTAGCTTAACCGAAGAAAAACTACCAGTTGAAATATGTCAAAGTGTATGCATACCCTATAAAGGAACATGCTGATTATCACCTATGACTTGATCTTTTTGTACTTCATTCACTTCAGTGCTAGGCCTCAACACACTATATGTAATACCACCAACAGCCAGTGATGCCACTACAATTGCAGCTACTGCTGCTACTATAGAAGTCAGCTCAACTGTAATCACATCAGTTGCAAATAGTGCCACTGCTACTGCAGAACCTACTGCTGCTGTTGTACCGCCGTAAATAATACCTTGTTTCTTTGCTTCCGCTTTTTCTAAAAGCTCAGCCACTTTTGTGTGACCCTCTTTCCGAGCAAGGCCGCTTGCGGTTACCCCTTCTTTGTTTTTTAATAAAGGATTTGCCCCTTTTGCTAATAGAGCATCTACTATCTTAGTATGACCATTTTCAGCAGCCAGATGCAAAGGAGTTCGTTTCAATTTATCTGCTGCGTTAACACTTGCACCTTTTTCTACTAGGGTATCTACTGTCTCAGTATGACCATATCTAGCAGCAAAATGCAAAGGAGTTCGTTTCAATTTATCTGCTGCGTTAACACTTGCACCTTTTTCTACTAGGGTATCTACTGTCTCAGTATGACCATATCTAGCAGCAAAATGCAAAGGAGTTCGTTTCAATTTATCTGCTGCGTTAACACTTGCACCTTTTTCTACTAGGGTATCTACTGTCTCAGTATGACCATATCTAGCAGCAAAATGCAAAGGAGTTCGTTGCAGTCTATCTGCTGCGTTAACACTTGCCCTTTTTTTTATTAGGGTTTTTACTGTATCTGCCTTACCACATGCAGCAGGTCCATGCAAAGGAGTACATCCATTGTTATCTACTACATTAACTTTTGCACCATTTTCTAATAGAACTTCTACTATCTTAATATAACCGTTTTCAGCAGCCCAATGCAAAGGAGTCCTTCCATATTTGTCTGCTGCGTTAACATATGCACAGCTTTTTATTAGAACTTCTACTATCTTAGTATAACCGTTTTTAGCAGCCCAATGCAAAGGAGTAAGTCCATAGTTTTCATCTACTGCTTTGACACTTGCGCCTCCTGCTAATAGAGCGTTTACTATCTTAATATAGTCACCTGCAGCAGCCAAATGTAATAGTGTGCATTCCCATGTGGCGCTGTCCTCATCAGCGAACTCAAATAAGTGATTTACACCAAACTCAGCTTTCTCCCATTCTTCATGCTCACCTTCTTCTTCCTTTAATGCCTCTTGTATTTTTTCAATTATATTACTCTTATTTGGATCTG